TATTTTTTTTTTCTAATCATTTAATTTATTTTTTATTAATTATTATATATTATATTATTTATTATTGTATTACATTATTTTATATGTATTATTAATATTAATATAATGATAATATTATATTCTATATATTATATTATTATTAATATTATATTATATATATTATCATATTTACTGATATCAGTGTTTCTTATTGAGGTTCTGAAGCTGACAGTGGTGAGCACGGTTCCGCTAAAATGCTAATAGTGGAACTAACTCAGTTTAGCAGATTAGCATTTTTGCTAACTTTGAAAACCTTTAGCGGAATTAGCTTCCACCATATTTAAATCCGGCAAATTCAAGTCTGCTATTTAAAAAAAAAAATGCAGTTCTCCACATTAAAATCATAGAGTACAACGGTGATTTACAAGAAGCTATACTATGCTAGGTGGAGCTAAGCAAAGCACCACCGGGTGATGTCACCACACACGCAGTGCTTACCCCCCTTCATATCTTCTGCTGTCAATTACTGTGTCAGTTTACAGCCAATAACATACCAGAACAGGAAAATAATGTGGAAAACCCCATTTTCACCTTTAGAAACATCAGAAACAGTCAGAAACATTGCACACATAATTCCTACCCAGCATACTTTGTGACACTCACTGTCTCTGGGACATGACTCTCTCACACGTTTCACATCTTTACTTCAATACAAACAGATTTTACTGAGTGAATATTGACGATGACGCACACCAACTTTGTAGTTAGTTTATAAATGTAAAGAGGATCGTCAAAGTGAGTTAATTCTAGTAAATGACACGAGGGAGATGTCCGACACACATTGAATGCATCACTCTGCTTCAGCACAGCAGAGTTCTGCTCTGCCTCTTTTGTTTCAATAGACCGGATTAATTTCTGAAAGCTCACCTCTGAATGAGATGCTTTACTTGTGATTTATGAACTGTTTTGAGTTGTTCACTTACAACGTTGTCACATTACAGATGGTCTTAAGGCCCCCACATACTCGGGCATACTTCGCTCCGCGGAGGTCCGCGCGTACATGAGGCGGACTCAAAGCGGACGTCCGCCGGCCATGTCTGCGTAAAGATAAATTTTTATGACCGCGTACTCTGTGTCGCACAATAACTGCCTGACGAGAAACAGTGTTCACATTGAACTGTTTTGTATGCGACACCAACTGCAACGTGGATGCGCAACGTGGATGCGCAACGTGGATGCACTCTGTGCAGCACTGACAGGTGTGTGGTGGCTGCCCTGGTGGTAAAGCGTCGAACTAGCTCACCAAACTTGCTAGAATCCATTCGAAAATATTCAAAATGTTTCTCACTGTCCTTCGTCTTCGTGTCCTTCACCAGTGTATTAAATTCCTTTTCTTCATCCCTGGTCTGGTTTAATGGCCTTATGTACCACATTCTTTCCTTTTTTTTTTTTTTTTTTTAAATCTAAGAGGCAAGAGATCTCTTCCTCCTTATCCGTTGACGCTATGACTGAAATTTTGAGAAATGAAGGAATTTGTCGCGAGAGAATTAAAATCTGTACGGTCGAGTATGAAGTCTCAACCGTCTGCGGACAGTACGTGCAGAGTCCACGCGGCTCACGGAGTACACACAGTACGACTGAGTATGTGGGGGCCTTTACAGAGTCAGTGACGCATCAGCAGTGTATGAAAAAATTTAGCGTTTTAGCGTTAGCATCTGCTAATTTCTTTTATCCGTTTAGTGGTTTAGCGTTAGCAAAGCTAACTTTTTGATTAGCTGTGGCCACTACTGGAAACTGACAACAAAACAAACAAACAAACTTGTTTCTCCATTTTAGTCATCTCCAAACAGCTGTCAGAGTTGGGCTGATCCGGGCAGAAGTATTCACCAAGCCGGATTGTTTCAGAAAGTTTCTTTTATTGGAAGCTGTGGTTGAAACGGCTTCAAATAATTCCATTCAGTTTATTTATATACTGTAGTGCCAATTCACAACAAATTTTGTGTTGAGCATTGTACAAAAGCATCCATATACTGCACATTACGAAATGTCAATTTAATGAAGTTCTCTACCTAAGGAAGACAGCAGATTGTGTCGAATCTCCGCTTCGTCGCAGTCTCCCATTCTGAGCAAGCACAAAGGGCATCAGTGGAAAGAAAAAACTCTCTTTTAACAGGAAGAAACCTCCTCTGGGCTTTGGATAGGCAGCCATCTTGCCTTGACTGGCAGGGGAAAGAAAGGACAGAAGAGCAATACAGACAAAAACAAAGTGGCTGGTCCAGGTGTAGTTTCTATGGGTAGAAAGACAACACAAAACATGTTAATGATAGAAATAGTTGCAAATACAAATATGAACAGTAGAGAGAGTAAAGACAGAGTCAAGAAATGTGGTCAGTTAGTCCTACTGCAGTCTAAGCCTATAACAGAAGAACTAAGGGATAGCTCAGAAAGCCCAAGCCAACCCTAACTATAGGATTTATTAAAAATGAAAGAATTAAGCCTAATCTTAAAACTCGACAATGTGTCGGCCTCACAGGCAGAAACTGGAAGTTGGTTCCACAAGAGAGGAGCCTGACAACTGAAATATCTTCCTCCCATTTTAGTTTTGGAAACTCTAGGAACCACAAGTAAGCCTGAAGTCTGAGAGCAAAATGCTGTGTTGGGAAAATATGGAACAAAGTAAATGTGCAACGCAGTCAAAAAGTTAATTAGTTGTAGATCTACACCCAGTGATTATGTCCAGAGAGTTTCATTTAAATCTGTTATAAAGTTTGAAGTACTCCTTGGAAAAACCCAACGTCAGTGTTCCATTATATCAAGTAAGAGAATTATTGTTTTCTTTATGTTCTTTTAGGCCAAAGAGCTGCAGACGCTGCACAACCTGCGCAAGCTCTTTGTTCAAGACCTCACCGCACGAGTTAAGAAGGTACGATCTCCTTGACGTGAATGTTTGCCACCTCTCGTTCAGTGGTAGTTCTACCGACATTGGGTTTGTTTTTAGAGCGCGGAGCTCGATTGTGAGGAGGGTCTCGGAAACGTGGCTCAGAAACAGAAGATCTCCTTCCTGGAGAACAACTTGGAGCAGCTCACCAAGGTCCACAAGCAGGTAAAATAACATCATATGCACGATTAGAAAAAAATCGGGGGTAACGTTGAAGGGTTCCAATGCAACCATGTCTAATAACTCCAATGTAAATCCATTTTCTTCTTGAAAGCCCAACTCAACATTTGTGACGATCTAAATTGACAATATGTGTATGTTTCAATGTTTAAACTGAAAAAAGTGTATTTTATAGCTGTTGCCTGTAGGCCTGTCACAATAACAAATTCTGCTGGGCGATTAATTGTCTCAGAAATTATTGCGATAAACGATAATATTGTTTGAAATTTGACAATAATTAGTAATTGTTGTCAAATTTAAGAAGAAATGTTTAATTTGTTTTGCATGTAGTACCTTTTTTGACCACTGGATGGCAGTATAAGACTGTTTGAACTGAAGGATGGATAGTGAGGGAGTGAGCAGTGTGTCTCTGGGAGGGAGGCCTATTGACGTGACATGGGCTGTCTCTCTCCGGTTCTCAAAATGGCGGACACTCGTTGTGGTTTGAGCTCTTTAGCATAGCATTTTTCACACAATGCTTTTAATTAAAAAAAAAAAATCAGTAAACAAGTTCTCAGCTTCTTTTTGCAAAGAAAAACTGTTTACGTGAAGGAACGGGTTACAACTGTGAATTTTGGAGCTTCGACAGGACAAGTCCCC